CAGTGTTGCCTACTACTGATTTTCATTATAAGTCTCATGATAGTTGGTAGGGTTTGTATGTTTTTGATCAAATGAGAATATGAGCTTTCGATTTTTTTTAAAAAGTAAGATTCTAGGCATCATGGTTGTGGAGAAAAGCTTGACAACATGAACCTTAAAAGGTCCCCAAATCAGAAGGCAAATTTAAAAGGATCTAAAGTGTATTATTTTTAAAAATCTCATGATTTTTAAGACAGTCTCATGATCATTGTGGCCTGAATCATGATTCTTGAGTACTTAGAATTGGCAATGATGGAAATGTAAGACACATAGTAATCTAAGATGGTAGCAAGAGTATAGGTGAGGACTTTAACATGACAGTGTTCTTTAAAAATCTTTAGTGATTGTGGCAGCCAAATCACTTGATCTGTAGTGTTTCTCAACTTGGACCAAATCTTGTCATGCTATTAACCTTTACTTAAAGAGCCTTGTCTGAAGACTTCATGAGTAAGATGACAACCAAAAAAGATAACTAATGCATCGTGGTTCATAAACTGATCTACAATATTTTCCTCAAAGCAACAACTGGTAAAAAGAATTACTACAGAACTTGGACTTTGTACATTATCCAGAAAAATTAATCCCCTGTGCCCCCAAAATTGGCTTATTTAAGTGTCATTACCTCATATGCAGTAAGTACACGTCTATGCTTTTTATTGGCTTGAAAAACAACCACACTGCAAAGATTTTACAATTCTATAAAATTCAGCTTGTATTTCGAAGAGGAAAACGCCACTCTCTTGCTCTGCATTTAGCATATGCTCTTGCCATGACGTGCAACAGAAAATATGCAACCTTGGCTGGTGCTAAGCAATGAATCACATTTTCCTTAGGGGACAGGGAGGTTGTCTGTGTGGTGCATCAGGCCACTTCCTGAGCCCAGCCTTCTCTGCAACCAGGAAAGGGGCGTGTCCGGGAGGAGCTATCATCGCTGAGGCCACAAAGAGCCATCTGCTTTGCATCCGGCCCCTGGGAAGGGGGATGTGGATGAGCTTGGGGGGAATGCAGCTGATGCAGGACAACTACAGCAAGCAACTTGCTCTGACTGCACTGAGTGCCGGGGTAGGAAACAGGAGGCTAAGGAGGCGATACTGCTGGGCAAGTGCCACGCTCCCGACACCTGCTCAGCATTCAGCACCCCTGGAGAGCACGTGTAAGTGGGGAGATTACTGTTCCGGGCACGTCACAGAAAACAAAGCCAGACCCAGTCCCTGCCCCAGGGATTTTACCGTGTCCGTATGACAGGTGATGCAACCCCAGGGCACAGTGAAACGAAAGGGAGGTAGGGCTGGGGAGCAGGCCGAGGATTGCGGCGCCTAGCAGGCAGTGGGCATCCAGCAGACAGTGTGAGTGGGACGGAGACGCTGCAGAGGCGTGACCCTGCGCGCCACGATGGTTTAAATGACACATCACCCCACGCGCCGTGCCCCCCGCCCGCATCCCGCAGGGCGGGCAGAGCCCGAGCGGCATCTCCCCGCCAGCTCCGGCCAGGTGCGACAGCGCCCAGCCCCGGGGCAGCCCGCCCTCAGGAAGGAGCTGTCCCCGCCAGGCCGCGCCCGGCCAGCGTCAGAGTCGCGTCCCCACCCCCATGTGCAGCAGGGGGAATCCCCCACTCGCCGCGCCCCTAGCCCGAGGCCCGCATGGGACTCGCCCGCCTCAGGTGAAGGGCCGTTGGCGCGGGGAGGAGGGGCGCACACTCACCCGCTCGTGGCGCGGAGCCCAGGCTCAGGCTGCAGCGAGTGAACCCGGCTACCGGCTCCTCCCGCTGTTTAAAATGGCTGAGAGCGCGGGGGGAAGTAAGGGGGGGAGGGAGGAGGGGCGCGTGCCCTGTTGGCCAACCCCCTCGCTGACGCCATCGAGAGCGGGAGGGGGCGGCTGTGGCAGGAGGGGTGTGCGGGGGCGGGCAGAGGCTGGCGGAGGAGCAGGCGTGTGGGAGGGGCAGGGGATGGGGGGAGGAGGGGGGAGGAAGAAGGAGATGAGGTGTTGAGGGGAGGGAGGAGCAGGGGATGGGGGGAGGAACAGGGGATGAGGTGTTGAGGGGAGGGAGGAGCAGGGGATGGGGGGAAGAGGGGGAGGAAGAAGGAGATGAGGTTTTGAGGGGAGGGAGGAGCAGGGGATGAGGGGGGGAAGAAGGGGGAGGAAGGAGATGAGGTGTTGAGGGGACGGAGGAGCAGGGATGAGGTGTGGGGAGCAGGGGGGAGGAAGAAGGAGATGAGGTGTTGGGGGAACGGAAGGGAGGGAGGAGCAGGGGATGAGGTGTGGGGGGAGCAGGGGGAAGGAAGAAGGAGATGAGGTATTGAGGGGAGGGAGGAACAGGGGATGAGGTGTTGAGGGGAGGGAGGAGCAGGGGATGAGGTGGGGGGAGCAGGGGGATGAAGAAGAAGATGAGGTGTTGGGGGAGCAGGGGTGAGGGAGGAGCAGGGGATGAGGGGGAGGAAGAAGGAGATGAGGTGTTGAGGGGACGGAGGAGCAGGGATGAGGTGTGGGGAGCAGCGGGGAGGAAGAAGGAGATGAGGTGTTGGGGGAACAGAGGGGAGGGAGGAGCAGGGGATGAGGTGTTGAGGGAACGGAGGGGAGGGAGGAGCAGGAGTGAGGAAGGAGCAGGGGATGAGGTGTTGAGGGAACAGGGGGATGAAGGAGGGGGAGCGGATGGTGAGGAAGAGAAGCAGGGAATGAGGAGGAAGAAGCATTAATGGGGGAATGAGAAGTGAACAGAGGGCAAGAAGGCGCAGAGGAATGCATGGGGGGCGGGAATCAGAGATATGTGGGGAGTAACAAGAGAAAGTGAATTTAAGAGATTCCATTGGAGAATGACTAAGGCAGGTCTCATTGTCATTGCTTCCTAACCTGCCTGAGGAGTCCCCCAAAATGTGACAGTGACCCCATCCCCCATTGAGGGGACACATGACACGAGTAGCTGAACAGGCTGTTTGAAATCATACAGGATTTCTTTCTTTATTAAACATCAGACATTCAGGGCATCATATTTAATTATTTGTTAAATGCCATCTGTTACAGTTTAGAGCAACTGCACCTGTCTCCCCCTCCATGGTCCACCAAGGGTACCCACTTTTATGCTTCCAGCTCCCAGCCATCACCTCTCTTGGGCCAGAGACCTACATCTCCCACCTCCTGACCAGGTTTTTTCCAGGCAGCACAGCTCCCTGCCTACACTGTAATATCCCCAACAAGCGAGACTGCCTAAACAGGCCAGCATCGCGCTTTACTTTCTGTCCAAAGGCTATGAACAGCTGACAACAGTTACAAGTTACCATACAGCTATTTCTAAACAAGCACATTTGTTCTTAAGGTGAAAACATTATAGAGAAAGTGTATTAAAAACAATAAAAGAACCTACATGTATGCTAATAAGCTTACCAGAGATCACTCCTACTCCAGATGTGGGCTACGTTCACACTATGGACTTTACAGCGGCACAGCCAACGAGCAGCGGTAGCTACATCATGCTGTCCACACTGGTGCTTTTGTGGGTGAAACTTTTGTCGGTTAGGGGAGTGGTTTTTTTCAAAACTTTTACCAACAAAAGTGCTAGTGTAGACGTAGTGTGGGGCTCTGGTAGGTGTCAGTCCTTCAAAATCCATCCCTGGGGTTACGAGTTCATGACATGTTCTGTTGGAACCAGAACCCCCGCTAATAGGTTAGTCTTTCCTTTGTACAGCTTGAGACTCTAAGAACAGCTAATCAGCAGATAATGGTCCTCTGCTCTGGACAAAGCTTCAAAACACTGGGTTTTTGCATACGCAGAAGTGGGGAATTTGCAGTTGCACTCACCTCCCCCTAGAGATTCCCCAGGCAAACCACTTGACACTTTTTATCCCAAAAGTCCATTCTTGCCTGGTACATTGTTTTATATAGTCCTTTGAAGTTCACAATACTTCACAAGATTAATATCCCATCTTCCACCTAGAGAGGTTACATACAATTCCAGCACACAGAAATACATAAACTTTGCATTTAATATGATGGACTCTAAAGATACTTAAATACTTAAACTTAATTCAATAAGATTTTTTCAAGGATGTTGCAGAAAACTGCCATATTTGTTACACCAACAACATGCTCAGATGTTCCCAGGACACAAATCTAAAGGTTTCCTATCCCAGAGAGCTTTCAATCTAAGAATGGAAAAGGAAGAGGCATTAGGAGATCCAGATGGCAGAACTAATTTAGACATACAGATTCAGATCTATTTAAATATTTATTTCATTTGCTTATCTCAGTGAGCCTCATGGGAAAAACGGAGTCTTTAGTACTGTAATGTCATGTTTGCTGGTAGAGAGTTAAAACATTCAGTTTTCAGAGTAGCAGCCGTGTTAGTCTGTATCCGCAAAAAGAACTGTTCTTTTTGCGAAAACATTCAGTGTACATGGAGCAGAGGCAGAGCTAACCACAGGCTTAAGCAATGCATCAAAACACTTGGCGCCCCAGTCTACTACCTTGTAACGCACATGCTGATCCAGTCTCTTCTTCCAATAGCAGGACCAAATGAGGAAGAAACCCATCATCAGTCCAGATCTCTCTGCCTCAGAATAGAAGACAACTCATCACCCGATCTCTCCCTTCTTACAAGCTGGAGGCTTGCAAGATGTAACAAAGGCCCCTGCGTTTTTTATCTGAAATATAAATAATCTGTCTCATAATCAACACTGGTGAGAGCCACTCAGATTATCCATGCAACAATCTGAGAACCAGAGCCTGCTACCCTCCCCCATGATTCACCCCCAAATTTGCAGACTTTCCCACATTAAATGTGGAATTGTGGAGTCTGCAGCTTATGTGGAGAAGAGGTAGCACAAGATCAGTGTGGTACTGAGCTCTGAAAAAGGACATGTGGTCAGTCAGCCTTCCTCTTCCTTCTAACCTCCAATCCATGTGGAGGGGAAGAGAAAATGTTTTGTTCTTCTTTGTTAGTCTCTAAAGTGCCACAAGTACTCCTGTTCTTTTTGCGGATACAGACTAACACGGCTGCTACTCTGAAACTCTTCTTTGAGGCTTGACCATGTGTTCCCTTCTCAAATGGAGGCATGGCCAAGTCATTAGTTTAATTTGTTTTTCACTTTTCTTATGTGAAATCTTACACATGGGCTTTACTACTTTTACTTTGCTAGACTTTGTTGCAACCCTCTTTGCCTTGTTTATTGTCTAGTGGCCAGGATCATCACTAAAGAAAATGGCTGGCTTGCACAAGGCACCCTGTCATAACTATAAAGCGAAGGGTGTAACAGCTGTCCTGTGTACAGTACTATAAAATCCCTCCTGGCCAGAGACTCCAAAATCCTTTTTCCTGTAAAGGGTTAAGAAGCTCAGGTAACCTGGCTGGCATCTGACCTA